ACTTCCACAGTCCTGGCCATGCATCACTAGATTTAATCTGTCCATCTCGATCCATCCACTGACACTGCACCTCAACTCTACCTTCACAGGATCCTGTTATCAACAGGTCCGGTTAGTTATTTCTAGTTATTGTGTGATATAGGGTTGTTGCCTTACCTATTTCTGGAGCCTTTTTCACAACCTGATCAAACTCGGCATCTTGCATATTCTCACACAAGCCTTGCAGTTGACAATCACCTGGTTCACATGACGACGACTCTGGATTGCGTTGGTTTGTAGTTGTGCCACTGCTGCGGTATGAGGAGAGCCAGCCCTTCTTCTTCGCAAAGCAGTAAAACAGTAGAACTATGATGGTGGTAACAACACCAGTAACGATGCCTATAGCCACCACAAGTGTGATGCGATTTGATGGCAAGGGTTCATCTAGTTGAAAAAAAAATTAGAACTTAAAAGAGAGTTTAATTTTACTTCAACCCTTATATTGTGGAAAATCAGGCGAATCTTGATTTCAATATCTTGCATGTATTTTATTATTTGGCGGAACTGGTCTACAATGAACGTAACTATATGTTTAACTTTTGCATTTGCGTTTACCAAAAATGGATAAAAAAGATAATAATGTACATCACTTTATCAGCACATTTCAAAGAGTCATAACATATATAACAATGAAATGAATTTGAATATTTCAAACAAGACAGTTGAGTTATAAAGATGATTATTTTCAAATTAATCTGACTATTAATATGATAAATTTACCATTGATAGATGGCACCTCTACTTTATTAGAAGATAGATTTTTCATACCTTCGAAGTTTTCCTTAACGCAGTCTGTGATATTTTCTGCTGGTTTATTTGGAGAAGGATCTGGTTTGCTCGAGTTTAACTTGAAGTCAGGACATTGTTTACATGCATGACGTGATGATTGGCCCACTTGTGGCTGATATGTTCCCCAGGGGCATTGAATCCGATGCACACTTCCTAATGGACAGTAATAACCCCGAGGACATGTTGCCGTCAAATTTACTGCAAAATAAACAATATATACCTAATGTCATTCTTGAAAAAGATTTCATGTCAAAAAAGGAAATTGGTGAGTCAAACTCAAGAGGTAAGCGTTGCAGTTGACTTATAGTTGCTTATAATTAACCCAACATTGACTTATGGGAATTTCTCCCAAAATGTTTTTTTAAAATTTCCTTTTATCACCCTGCAAATCCCTATTTAAGGCTCTTTTCTTGAAGGATTGCAGCAGAACGGCCCAAAACTTCATTTGAAGGTGGAAACCAACATTACCTGACACTTTTAGGCAAATAGCTTGTCGGAATGAATTTTTGTTTTAATGTGTGAAAGGAGAAACATGGGGCTACAAAATGCAAATAATTTATACACAGATTCAGTTTATGTGTTAACATCCTTTTTACTACCCAAATCAGATCATGCAATGATTCATTGAGGGAGGTTACAAATTATTGTTCTGTTTGTACATTCTCCCATACAATCAGTTACATGTACATGTGACAAATTGCACAGATGTAACCTCCCAGATGAATCATGACGTGGTCTGAATCCGGTGACAACAAGGTGTAAACTCCGTCTACTGTATTACACTGTAAATACCACTTTATGTCTTGAAGAAGTGTTGACGGACAAATCAGTTGAAGATGAATTTGCCCACATAATTCATCTGAACACTGAATTTAGATGATTTATCTGTCTTGGATGAATAAATAATCTCAGATTGATAAATCATGTCCTGATATAAATTCAGCCTCGGATAATCCAGCTCTACAGTATAAATTCAACCATTGACATTATATGTTAAATGTTAGCCAGTAACAAAATTTCCATACCAACTTTAAGATGAAATGGTGCTAATGATTTAAGTCCATTGTCATGCATAGCATAACAGGTGTAGTTTCCTGCATCTTCCATTGTGACATTTTTTATCTCTAGATTAACAATCTTCACATTTTTATTCCGGTCTGACATATGAAAATATTGGTAGTGTTTTTGATCCCCCTCCTTAATAAGTGACTTGTCCTTGAAAAAGCTATTCTGTACTGTATAATCCTGGGTTTTGCAGGTAAGATTGACAGTTGACCCAGTATATGCTGTATTCCTACTGTCGCCTTCTAGTTTCACATACTCAATATATGGCCCTTGTTGTTTTCCTGAGGACGAAAATCAGAGTTTTTTTTCTGAGTTAGGTTTTAAGCTAGACTTGCCACAAGTTGACTTTTACTTAATGCTATGCTTATTCATCTCCCTTGAGTGAAGCAAGAGAGCAATCTTCGAGTGACGAAGTTGCAAGTGTGAGCAGCTCTAGTCACGAAAGGTCAACATGTTTTACTCGCAGGGATGTGTATCAAAGCTAAAATGTTTGGCATGAAAAACGTGATTGACATTTTCTTAAATTTGGTGTGATGCAAGTACAAATAGACTCTCAGAATACAATACTAACAGGTTCAGGGCTGTCATTAAGGGCCGTAACCCATAACACCTGTTACAGCTGAGTATGCTTGATTTTCTCCTGATGCAACAGGTGAAGTTGCCTGTTGTTGATAGAATTCACCCATAAAGTAACAAGTTTGCTTCAGGTGTGGAGAACAAGGCTACAGGTGACTCAAAACTTAATGACAGCCCTGCAGGTTATTGTAAACAACAATTGTCACATTACATCAGGTGAATTGATTAATCTCGGTGGAATTTACCATGCGATCTAGTCAAGCCAAAATACCCTCAGCTGATGACATACCAAAAAGCTAAGATCTTAAAGGTATTTAGCGTACAGAAATTCTGCCAGAAGTTCGACAACATCAATTTTTTCCAAAACCCAGGAAATAAGGGCACTTTACGGATTATGCCCCTGATTGGCTAATTCTGAATCTGCATATGGTAGTGGCTGTAAATAATGCAAATTCTTTAGGTTGAATGAAATTAAAAAAACCCTCATCAGCAGTTCACCAGAAACTGTTCCAAGAAATTTTCATTCTATTTGCCCGTTTCAAAAGCAAACTTTTTATGGTAAACTTGGTGATATAATTATTAATAAAATTAAATTTGAACACAGTTTGATCTGATTTACTTACTTTCATTTGATAAATAAGATGACGCTGTTACTTGTCCAACCTTATTCTGTACAACACACGTGTAGTTTCCCGCATCCCTTCGTAACACTCCCTTAATGAGTAAACCTGTGTTACAGTCCTGGTATTCATGTCTGTTGTCTGCAACTAAGGCCGAGCCATTTAACAGCCATGACACAGTGGCTGATAATTTTGAAATACTCACTGTGCACTTAAATTTGACATTCTGACCCACAAAAATGTATCTTCTATTGCCATTAATTGTGACCTGGGGAGGACCTGTGAGAGCTGATGATGATTGTGATGGTAAGATTGTTCCATTTAAGCATTTAGGAGTTAGAGAAACAGCATTTCGTCTGTGCCGTTCTGAGGACAAATAAGCTGCAATGGATCAACCAAAAATCAATCAGTCAACCTGGGTCAATCAGTCAATCAGTCAGTCAGCCAGTAGGCTGCTCAGTGGGTTGAACAGTAAGCTGGCAAGCTGGTAAGTCAGTCAGTCGGTCGATAGGCCAGTCGGTTGGTTGGATGGTTAGTTGGTTGGTCTGTCAGTCAGTCAGTCAGTCAGTCAGATCAGTCAGTCAGTCAGTCAGTCAGTGAGTTAATAAAAGACTACTGTCTGTATAATTAAAACCTTTCAAATCTGTAACCTGTGTTTCAGACACCCACTTACATGTAATACAAATGTCTCATTGTTACAGTAGTTTTGATCCCAAGCTAGTAGATTCAACTGTTCCTTTGATGACCATGATCCGAGTGATCTTGGATCATTGATNGGGGGGGGGGGGGGGGGGTCCTGGGATGCCCATGAGCCCCCCTTTTGTAAGCCTTTTTAAGCAAACAACCTAAGACACAGCGTGGAGGTCGACATGACAATCTGGTGAGTGTCCTCACTTCGACACAGTGTGATTCCCCCTTTGAAAAATCCTGGCTACGCCCCTGATCTGGATAATTCCAAAGGAACACACTACTAGCATAATATGTCCCTTTATTAAAAACTGGATCATCAAGGGGATAAGATAAGATAAGATAACTTTATTTACACACGGTTCTTCCATCAGTCAATTAAAGTACTGGACTATCTACCTACATGTAACTACAGTAAAAATTAATAACAATTCAAATTATTTAAAAAAACTGCTTTTCATGGAGGCCGTGTCTAAAAATTTACTTAAAATTAAGATATTAATTACAATGCAATTCGAGAGTTTTCATTGGCTTAGCCATCATGGGTTATAGGCCATCAAACCATGCTCTACAAATATGGTAATGATTTTTTGGGGCATTTTTACATTTTTATTTACAGTAGTGAAGTTTTCTGTATTTTGGGGGTGTTAGCTGCGCTGCGCACCTCATTGACTGTCTACCATCTCATATTCAACGCACTCTCAAGGAATAATAATGTTAAATAAACCACTGAAATGAATTTACTTTGCAGAACAAATATTTAATTATTTAGTAATTATTAATTAAGTATTCCAATTCTAAGTTGAAAGATTAGGCTTTGAATAGTTCAGAATGAATGTGTAGAAGCTGAAAAGTCTAGTCGATTCTGGTGGTTGCTATAGAAAATTATGAAATAACTGAGCTACTGCGCACGCTCTCATTGGTCGATAGGTGTGTTTAGATGAGAGCATGTGAACACGGTTGTGACATTTTTAATTGGCGTGTATTTTCGAGAATTATTTTATAAAAGCAATATAGAGCATTTTTTCCATGTTTACATAGCCTCATCTAAACACTTGGGAGGTTGGGAGAATTCTAGAAAGTTATGCAAACCCGAGACATAATACACAAACCCTCGACTACGTCTCGGGTTTCCATAACTGTCTCGAATTCTCCCAACCCTCCTAATGTTTAGATGAGGTTATGCAAACACAAAAGGAGTGCTCTATTGCATAAATATGAGAATTTTAAAAGACTTTTTTATTATATATTTTTTTCAATCAGTGAATTGTAGGGAGTTCCTGTTTCTGAGTTCTTCCAACTGCTTTTTATTACACTGCAAATCACTCTTGAAATGCAAATTATACATGTGCTTTTAATTAATCATTGTATAATCAATAGTGTTAGCCTGTTGTAACGAAAAGGACTCTTCGTTTGGGGGAGACTTGACTTTTCTTGAGTTAACTTACAACGTTGGGGTAGTTGACGAAGAGTAAAAATTGTTTTAAATCACAGCAGCTGTAACGCACATGTTTTGACTGAAAGGTCACGGCATTTCATTGTGGGTCGTGCTACAATGTACAAGGTGCGTCAAATTCTCGGAAACTACGAGACTTAAAATTATTAGAAATCAGACAATTCTATACCAAATACTGCGCTATTCATTCTCAGAAAGAAAATGAGGAAAAATTGCGCAATTGTTTCGATTTGTTATAAAATTATTTCCCTTTCTATGAGAAAGTCAATTCACTTCTCCATTTGAACATGTTCAAAGTTTATCGTAAACAAACATTGCTCAATTAGTAAGATTAGGTTGACTTACAAAATGAAGTTACACAATACTTCTCTTCAAATCACCCCATACCAAAATTGATCTTGAATTACTGTAGAACTGTGAGTCAATATAATGAAAATTAACAACCTCACCTCTTTTACATTTTGCTATGACTGCTTCTCCTTTGCAAACAGATTTCTTCCCGGTCAAGTGATCGACCAGGCACGTTTTCACAGTCACGTTCAATCGCACACCATTCTTGTCCATGCAGGGACAAAGAATCGTTTTTGAACGACACTTTGACCGATGTTCCAGCTTTTCCAAGGCAGCGAACGCTAATGCAAGGTATAAACAGGCACTAAAAAAAAGAATCTTCTTGGAAATCATAGATTTGTTTGGCTTTACAATCTTGCCGAGCTGATGGATCGTGGTGTGCCCCGCTTGCGTTCTTGCCGTCAGACGGGAATTATCGTTTAAGAATTCTATCCTGTCGAGAAATTTTAGAAACAGCAATCTCGAAATAGACGTAATCCTTTCAGAACTGTTTCGAGGCGACGACACGAGTTTCGACTTTCGAAAGCAACGCCGTTTATTCCGTCTGATACCAACAGGAAATTGCTCTGATTTTAAGCGCCTGAAAAAGCGGAAGTTATGCAGAAAATAGCTTTCCAAATTTGGAGTTTAACCGGAAAGGGCGCAGTGAACTTCGTAACAAAACAACCTCGTTCCCAGGGTCTTCTCAGAAACATAGTACAGGAAAGTACGTAATTTCTGAATTTTTTTTTCTGTCAGAGCAATTCCACAATTACCAATTTAGCATTAACCATGTTACATGTAATTAAACTGGGCACTAGGAATGGCAATAATAACAATAAGAATACAGTCGGGTTCCGGTTGCGACCACCTATCGTAAACGACCACCTGCACCTTCCCGATCTGCGACCAGTTTTCCAAAATACCAAAAGTTTCCAAGTAAAATCACTGTATTTGGAACCTCTTGTAAGCGACCACCTCTCGTGTAAAGCGACCCCGACTATCTTTAGAGCGTGAAGTTTTGAAATTTTCTATTGCTTTTAACCTCCCGTAAGCGACCACTTGACAGATAATAGAACGGAAGTTGGATAATAAGGCGTTGTCACATCACTTTCCTAGGTAGTACAAGAGACAGAAATTTCTCAATTCTCTATTTTTCAATTGCCCATAATTCACTCCGTTTGCCCCCCAAATTTTGCATAAACTATTGTTGTGAAATATTCTTGGAAGGTCTGCATATTCCCAAGAGCATTTCACAACAATAGTTTATGCAAAATTTGGGGGAGGAGCGGGTGGCAAACGGAGTGAATTATGGGCAATTGGAAAATAGAGAATGGGAAGTACCGGATTTTTTACTCGAAATTGACTTTTAAATACTTTGGAAAGCTTAAATATTTTTCTGGCTACTAAAAATTATTGCATTAGTTAAGATAGGCGGCATTGGCGCATGGGGTGAGTCTCCCCAATTACCATATGCTAATGAGGCAAACTTTGGACCCAACATGGTCTAAGCTCTCTTCAGCGACTACCTGCCGTAAG